CGGCCTGTCCAGCAAGCCTGGCGAGGCACTTTGCTCCGACCATGTCGAAGACCGCCGCCTGCCGGCAGGAATTCCGATAATGCTGAAGATGGCGCTCTACTGGCAAAGGGCACGGAACGTCGCGAACCTATCCTACTACCGTTCTATCCTGCTGAATGAACCATCAGGACGGTCTGGCACGAGTTCTTGAAGACCCAGGTCGCCAAGTACGTTCGCGCACTGCTTCGGGGCGCGCAATTCGCAGGCGTCTGCAGGAGAGGGCCACCGCAACTGGTCCACCTGCCGACTGGCCACGTGCAGGCAGCCCGTAGCCAAGGACGGGCGGCTAAACTCTTCCAAGTGGACTTCGTTCGCGCTTTCTACGCCGCGGTCAAGCCCCCAGCGATGCCCCGAAGTGGCGACGACGAAGGCGAAGGTGATAGCAACATTACCAACGAGCACGGCATGCAAATTGGAGTCACGCTAGTATACTCCTGGGTGTTTGCGCAACATGCTGAGTTCTCAGAATCGGGAGCGTCTCCCCACTTGCTCGCTACCGCAGTCGAAGGCCGTGGTGACACTCACCTCTGGATGCTCTCGAGCAGTACTGCGGTGCCGCGCTCCCGCACGGGGGCCCCGCTTGCGCTCCTCATTGGCAGATGTTCAACTTATTGCGGCTCCCAGCTAGCCTTTCGATGCAGTGCAGCACGAAATGTCAGAGCTGAGGGGCGGCCTGCCGTTGCAGTGCGTCGACGGACCACCGTGTTTCTCGTCGGGACTCGAGGGGCCGGATCTACTGAGCGCCCCCTTCGTCGACGATGCCCCGTTCCTCCAATGTCCACCGCGAGAGCAAGACGCGTTGAGAATGGCGGGGCGAATGGCGGGCGTTGTGCGCGTGACAACGCTCGCACACAGACTCAGCGCCAACTGCAAGAAAGCCAACAGTTCCTTCATGAGTGTTCCAGGAGGACGACGCCGCGCGAATCTTGCCCAGCAATTGGAAGGAACCGCCGAGATGGCCCTGGCTACTGAGAGTTGAGACTTGAAGGATTATATCGCTAGACGCTAGAAGTTCCCCGGCACGGCGCTCGACGCGACGGCGGGCCTAGGTCCGAGGATCTCATCGCCAAGATCGAAGCAGAAAGCAGCACTCGAGCCAACGCACAGGAAGATCGGCGCGTTCTCAAGTATGGCAGGACCAGCTAGGGTCACATTCATCGATGTCATGTGCAACAACCACTTGCTGTACTTGGCAGTGGCGTGGGACAGAATGACGGCTACCCAACTGCGCAGGCTGTCAACACTAAGACTTGTTTTGCATAGGAAAGACGCGCATTTCGCAGGTTGCAAAGGCGAGCGCACCGCGAGGACAGCATGGTCAGGTACGCTGATGCGGCGGTCTTGACCAGAGGCTGGGAGGCCGATGCTGGGCCGCATCGTGTGAACACTTCGGCTTGCCTACTTCGGCCGCCTGCTCCTTACTGCACCAGTGTGCGTGCAATTCGTGGCGGTCCTGGTTGTGGAAAGCGAAACACCTTTGTCGCGGATGCTATTGGGGAAGACCTGAGATGCCTTGCAAACTCTGACAACGAAGATCCGAGGAGAGAGCCCAATGGTCTTTGGGAGAACGGTTTCGGCATGCACGTCGACAAAACAAAACACATCAACTGCAGGCTTCATGGAAACATCGTGCACCGCGTGAACTTTCAAGGATCCAGGTCCAGGCATGGGAGGACCACGTTGGCGCGATGAAGCAAACTGGAAAAGCGGCGGAGTCTGCGGCATGTTGCACTCGGATGGCACCAACCTGCTCAGACACCTCAGGATGCCAGGCAACGCGCGCAGAGGTTGGCTTGCGGCATACGTTACCATGCTCGAACTCGAGGATGCAGCCATACTTCGACAACACGTTTTGAAAGGGAAGAAGAACTGATGGAAAGCTGCTACAACTACCGACAAGTCTTCAATCACGCAAGATCCGATGGACATTTGGGTCACCGAGGCGAGCCGCTAATCCTACCCATGCCCCCAGCAGCGCGCATGGAAATTCACCCAGCTGTTCCGCCACTGCGCCGTCTGGTGGCTCCTGCGCAAAGAAGAACTCCTTCATTTTACATGTACTCGGAGGTGAACCGCGATCAGGACTTAATCCACCTCGGGTTGAAGCTTTACATCCCAGGCCCATGATTGCGGTCAACATCGCGGAGGGCCAAAGACATTCTGCTGGAGAGAGGAGGATGAGAAAGAGGAGGAGGAGGAGGAGGAGGAGGAGGAGGAGGAGGAGCAGGGGGAGGAGGAGGAGGAGGAGGAGGAGACGGAGGAGGAGGAGGAGGAGGAGGAGGAGGATGAGGAGGAGGAGGAGGAGGAGGAGGAGGAGGAGGAAGAAGCATCGGGATTCAAGGACGAGGGGGAGGGGGCGAGGGCTCTGGGGGCCCACGTTGTGCACAGCATGCCACGGCGTCGGAGATCTTTGGGAGCATCCGTCACAGTGCCTGCACGACGTGGGCGTGCCAGAATGCCAAGTGCTGCCAGTAGGGGTCCTGCAATTTTTCAAAGGCCCCCCCCGAGTAGTACCCAGGTGCGTGCATCCCATCCCCCCATCCCGAGCCTCCTGGCCCGTGGCACGATGGCGGAGTTAGCCGCAGGCACCTGGGCATACGGTCGTACAGTCAAGCTACGGCCATCAGGAATGCTTAATAAAGGAGGAAACTTCTCGGCCCCTTCATCCAACCAAGCAGATATTAGGAACGAGGGGGCCCCTTCTAGACGCGTGTCCTCGTTGTTGGCCTTTGTTTCTAAGATGACCCCTCCTCTGCCAACGTCCAATGGACGCGGGCCTTCGGCTAGATAAGCAAGCCAGGGGCGCCAATCGCGGGCATCAAGTACGAAACGCCAGACGCTGCTCGGAACGGTCAACATTCCAACACCGTTCGCACCGACTGCACAGCGTATTCGAGGAAGGACGTGCCGAGAGCGCAGCAGTCACGCAGATCACGTGGATGTCACCGGCCGTCCAAGCAAGACCGCCCGTGCCCAAACCCTTGGAGCGACGAAGTGGCTCGGTGGCAAAACCGCAGGCGAACGCACAGCCTCTTCCGAAAATCAGCTTGTCCTTATTTCTGCGTCTTGACTGTGCCTTCGGCCACGAGAGGCCTCAGCCAAGAGGTCTTGAGTCTGAAGCCCACGGACTGTTTTCACGGGTCCAGGATTTGGTGACCGTTCGGGAGGGAACAGGGGGGGGACTGGCACAAGGGGGGCACATCGACCTCGACACGCCCACCTCGATCCCCACTTGGGGCTTGGGTGTCCAACCCCGCCCAGGGAGGTTTGGTTAGGCGATCGGGAGCCTATCGTGGATCCATGAGTGATGTATCGTCGAATTCAAATCAATACCCCCCCCCGAACCACCCTTACTTCGCCACATCTTCAACCATGGGGTTTTCACCCCAAGTGTCTTTGAGCACAAGACCCAGGGCGCCCTGGCAAACCAGAACACTTTTTCTCGACAAGCGTTTGCGCCAAAGTGAGATTCGCACTTCCTTGTAGGAGCAAGGAATGAAGAGGAGGAAAAGACCTTTGTGTATTTCAGCTCCGAGTGGGTCGGTCGACGCCGGCCCCTGAGAAGGCAATACCAGCAGCGACCCCCGTTACTGACTACGTGGGGTCTGTAGCGCGGCGCATCTGGTCTCCCTGCTACAGTCGGGTCGGGCGAAAGGGGGGGATAGCAAAGGGGGGGTTTGAGAATCAGCTCACGCAGCTGATTTTCCCGGCGCCTCCCGGCGCCGGAGGCGGCCATGTATCGAGGAATGGGCCCCTCAGTGAGGCCGAAACCAGCTGCATGCAGCAGATTTCGTAACCCCCCCTTTCCCAATCCCCCCCTTTCGCCCGGCCCGAGATTGGGTCGGAAGACGCCGGCCCCTGAGAAGGCAATACCAGCAGCGACCCCCGTTACTGACTGCGTGGGGTCTGTAGCGCGGCGCAGTCTGGCCTCCCTGCTGCAGCGAGCGACAGACCCCCGATCCGTTCTTGGCTGGTGGGCGGCGATCCGACAGGGAGGAGGAGGAGGAGGAGGAGGAGGAGGGAGGAGGAGGAGGAGGAGGAGGAGGAGGAGGAGGAGGAGGAGGAGGAGGAGGAGGAGGAGGAGGAGGAGGAGGAGGAGGAGGAGGAGGAGGAGGAGGAGGAGGAGGAGGAGGAGGAGGAGGAGGAGGAGGAGGAGGAGGAGGAGGAGGGGGAGGAGGAGGAGGAGGAGGTGGAGGAGGAGGAGGAGGAGGAGGAGGAGGAGGAGGAGGAGGAGGGGGAGGAGGAGGAAGAGAGCAGATGACTGGGCGGGGATGGGGCTGGACGCGGAGAGGGTCGAATCTCACCACCCCTGCGGCTTCCGCTCCCCGAGCACGCCCCGCGCGCTGGCGACGCTCTCGCCCAGTGCCCGCCACGTGTCCGCCTCGCGCGCTGCTCACCACCCCCCCCCTGGCCGGGGCTCGACGCCGCCCTGTCGGCGAGCCCCGCCGGCAGGGGCGGCCCGCTCGTGGCGTGCGGTGCCTGCCCGCGACCCGGGGGGCGTCGGCATTGGGGGGGGCGACAGCCGGCCACACGCAAGAGGGGCCCTGGGCAAGAGCGGCCCCTGGTGTGCGGCCTTTGGGGGGGGGGGGGGCGCGGGGAGGCCCGACCCGAGCGCGCACGACGCCGCTTCCGCATCGCGCTCGGCGGTAGGCGAATGGCCGCTCCGACGTGCAGGCGAGACAGGCGCGGCCGGCGCCCCCTGGTCGATGGAAGCCGACGCGGCGGGATCTTCATGTTTCGACGCCCGAAATGGGTACGGAAGAAATGGGTGCGATGCCCAACATCAAATGTTGTCCAACACCGACAGCGGCCGCTGTCGGGCAGGCAGCCTTCCGTCTCAAAGGGACGAGGTCCGCGGCGGCACAGACAGCGAAGCCGGTTCAAAAGGAGCAGGAAATTCTGTCGGTCTTTGTGCTCATTCTTTCCGTACCCATGTCGACCGTCCCGGCCGCCCAGCGGTCCGTTGTCCCACATGCGCTGCAGCCCCTTGACGATCGCCTCCGCTATCCTCCGGGTGGCGGCCTCGCGCTGCGCGGCGGTTGCTGTCATCGTGGTCGTCGGCGTCGCAGCTGGAACGGGAGAAAGGGGAGGAGAAGGGGGATGATAGTCTAAAAGGGGGCTCTAGGTATGGCGAAAATGCACGACGTCGCGATTTTCCCCAATCAGTGCTTACAGTGAGGGTGACCTAGCGGAGATTGAAAGATTTGGCGAAAATAACGGGCCGATTTCGGTGGGCGGCCGGGTTCCCAGGTTCCCGGTTCCAATTTCACGGGTTCCGGGTTCTGGGCCGATTTCGGTGGGCGGCGGGGTTCCCAGGTTCCCGGGTTCCTGGCCGATCTTCTTATCGATTGGTCTCACCATCGATGCCATTACCCACCTCTCTATCGATCTCACCATCGACCTCACAATCGAACTCACTATCGATCTCACAATCTATCTCACTATAGATCGCACGAGCGATCTCACGATCGATCTCACTATCGATCTCATTGAAACAACTTCAATGTCGGTCTCACGATCGACCTGACAATCGTCCTCACCATCGATTCCACAATCGATCTCACAATCGATCTCAATATCCATATCACTACTTCCCAAACCATCCACTGATCGGGGTTTCTCTGGTGTAATTTTCAGCAGCCGACAGCGCGCGTGAGATACACATTGAAGAACGTGCCATGAGGAACCTGACATGAACAACGGGCCTCCTCCCCTATCCTTCCTCCCAACTAACCTCCGCTTAAAATCTGTCCCCCGACCCTTTCCACTACTAGAGTTCGCCCTAGCAGTTTCTCATCCCACATCGGCGTTGACGGTCCCAGGGCTTCGAACGCACCTCTGCATGCCGAAGTCGAAGGGAACCCTCCAGCGCGAGCTCCCCTTGATAGGGGGGGGAGGGGGAGGACAGGTATGTTTCTGCTGGGCGCCCAAAGATAAGCCTAGAGAGCACTCCGCCCCTTTCCGAAGTCCACACGTGCTCCTCGCTGCGGCGCCCCGTCTCCGTGGAGGATGCCTTTGGACGCCGCCGCCCACGGAGCCATCCCAGCATCCGCCGCCGTGGTCCCGGGTGCTTGGCGTGCTGGACCCTTCGGTTTGGGTTTTTTCCCCCAAAGCCATCCTGTGGTGTTGGGTCCTCGTTTTGAAGAAACGGTGCCCAAAACCTCCTTCCTCCTCCTCCCTCCCCTCCTCCCTCCTCCCACCACCATCACCACCATCATCGGCATCCGCCACCGTTTTCCCGGGCACGTCGAGGCGTTGTAGAATGCCAGGTGCTGCCTGGTGGGGCGTCTGTAGTCTTCTCAGGGGCCCCACCCCTTGCAGCACTCGGCCGCACGCACCGTCCTCCCCTCCTTTCCCTAATAAAAAAAGATGGGTCCGCGCTGCCGAGGCCACGAGCCTCGTAAAAACAACTATGGGTCTGCGCTCCCGAGCTTCCAAGAAGGCCCTGGCAGGCAACGTTGGCCGCCAAGATGGCCCAAGATGCCTCCAAGACAACCCAGATCGCCGCAAGGTAGCCCAAGGGCGGCCTCAAGACGGCCCAAGATACCTCCGAGAGGGCTCAAGACTCAAAAGGACCGCAAGAGGACCCCACCATAACTTGGTGTTTGCTCCATAACTCGGTGTTTGCAGATGTTCGCATTCTTGCCTTTCAGGCGCCCGCCAACTCAAAACTCAAAGGCCGCGTGTTCCCCGAAGGCTTTCCAAACCGATTTGGGGAACACATGGTCCAATAGCTTGGCAGGTCTGGCGTCAACGTTCGGCCAAATAGGCGCTTCCAAAATGGCAGGGGGCGGCGGTGATTCCCCGCAGGCGTCTTCGATCCGCCACCCCCTGTTGATTCATCGCAGGGGTGCTTGGCGTGCTGGACCCTTCGGTTTTGGTTTTGTTCCCCCAAAACCATCCTGTGGTGTTGGGTCCTCGTTTTGAAGAAACCGTGCCCCGCGTTCCTCTCCTCTCCTTCCTCCTCCTCCCTCCCCTCCTCCCTCCTCCCACCATCATCATCACCATCACCGGCATCATCAGCATCATCACCATCACCACCACCATCGCCATCACCATCATCACATCACCAGCATCGTCATCATCATCATCATCATCATCATCATCATCATCATCATCAGCATCATCAGCATCATCGCAGTCATCGCAGTCATCAGCATCATCATTCGACCCCTCACACGCTTCGTGGCCCCATACGGAGCTCCACCGGAGGTCCCAGTGGCTGCGTTCGCATGCGGGCACCACACCCATTTCGGCACACCCCTCAAACGTTTCGTGGTCCCATGGGGAGCTCCACCGAAGATCCCAGTGGCTGCGTTCGCATGCGGGCACCACACCCATGTCGGCACACCCCCTCACACGTTTCGTGGCCCCATACAGAGCTCCGCCGAAGGCCCCAGTGGCGGCGTTCGCATGCGGGGACCGCACACATTTCGGCACACGCCTTCCACGTTTCGTGGCCTCGCAGGGAGCTCCACCGAAGGCCCCAGTGGCTGCGTTCGCATGCGGGCACCGCATCGATTTCGGCACACTCCCTCACTCGTTTCGTGGCCCCATACGGAGCTCTGCCGAAGACCCCAGTGGCTGCGTTCGCATGCGGGCACCACATCGATGTCGGCACACCCCTTACGCTTTTCGTGGCCCCTTAGGGAGCTCCACCGAAGGCCCCAATGGCTGCGTTCGCATGCGGGCGCTACACCCATTTCGGCACACCCCTTACACTTTTCGTGGCCCCTTAGGGAGCTCCACCGAAGGCCCCACTGGCTGCGTTCGCATGCGGGCACCGCGCCCATTTCATTACACCCCATCACACGTTTCGTGGCCCCTTAGGGAGCTCCGCCGAAGGCTCCAGTGGCTGCGTTCGCATGCGGGCACCGAACCCATTTCGGCACACCCCCTCACACGTTTCGTGGCCCCGCAGGGAGCTCCACCGCAGGTCCCAGTGGCTGCGTTCGCATGCGGGCACCGCACCCATTTCGGCACACTCCCTCACACGTTTCGTGGCCCCATACGGAGCTCCGCCGAAGGCCCCAGTGGCTGCGTTCGCATGCGGGCACCGCGCCCATTTCGTTACACCCCTCACACGTTTCCGTGGCCCCTTAGGGAGCTCCGCCGAAGACCCCAGTGGCTGCGTTCGCATGCGGGCACCGCACCCATTTCGGCACACCCCTTACACGTTTCGTGGCCTCGCAGGGAGCCCCACGGAAGGCCCCAGTGGCTGCGTTCGCATGCGGGCACCGCGCCCATTTCGTTACACCCCTCACACGTTCCGTGGCCCCTTAGGGAGCTCCGCCGAAGACCCCAGTGGCTGCGTTCGCATGCGGGCACCGCACCCATTTCGGCACACCCCTCACACGCTTCGTGGCCCCGCAGGGAGCTGCAACGAAGGCCCCAGTGGCTGCGTTCGCATGCGGGCACCGCGCCCATTTCATTACACCCCTCACACGTTTCGTGGCCCCTTAAGGAGCTCCGCCGAAGGCCCCAGTGGATGCGTACGGGGAAAGAGGCAACAAAAATAACGGAAAGGAAGCGGGCGCGATCCTCGTGAGGAGCGTGCCGGCATGGGCGTCGCGGCGTGCGAGCGCTGCCGCCGGGGGTCCCGGGAACACTTCCTGCGGCGGCCACGGGCATACGTGAACCATTATATTCATATACATTTACACCAGGCGTGGCCATGCTCGCATTCATGCAAATACACTCATTCGCACGCAGACTCATTCACACTCAGACTCACTCGCGCTCAGACTCACCCGCGCTCAGTCTCTCGCAATTAGACCAATCGTATTCGTTCGTGTTGTGTACCCCGCCGCGCAATTCGGCACGCCCCTCATGCGGTTCGTGGCCCCATAGGGAGCGCCATTGAAGAATGCAAGCGCATTTGCGGTACTCACAACTGCATATGGTTGGGTCCGTCGCCAAGCTACTTCCAAAAGAACTCCCCCTCGGGCTTCGGCCCGTCCCGCCGGCCACCCGGAAAGGCTCTCAAGGAGCTCAATTCCCCAATGTTTCGTCCAAGACGGCCCCAGATGGCCCCCAAGATGGCCACGTTGGCCCAAAATGGCCTCCAAGATGGTCCAAGATGGCTTCAAGCACGCCCAAGAGAGGAGGAGATGCCTCCAAGTCCGCCCAAGAAACCTCCAAGACGGCCCAAGACGGCCCAAGAGGTGCCCAAGAGTCCTCCAAGACGGCCCAACAGGCCTCCAAAAGGTCATCCAGGAGGGCCCGGAGAGGCCCAAATCACTGATTTTCCTTTGGTGTTTAAAGGTTTTTCGTATTTGCTCCTTTTCGGCTTACCGACGACACAAGACGGCCCAAGAGGCCCCCAAGATCGCCCCCACAGCGCCCAAGAGGCCTCCAAGATGGCCTCAAGACTGCCCAAGAGGCCCCCAAGACGGCCCCAAGAGGGCACAAAGACAACCCAAGAGGCCTCCAAGACGCCCAAGATGGCCTCTAAGACGGCCCAGGAGCACCCCAAGAGGCCCCAAGTCGGCCCAGAGAGGCCCCCCAAACGGCTTCCGACGGCGTCAGACGGGCCAGGAGCCCACCAAGATGGCCGAAGTTGGCGCGAAGCTGGCCCTAGACGGCCCAAGAGGCCTCCAAAAAGGCCTCCAGGAAGGCCAGAAAAAGGCCAAAAACAGGGATTGTCCTTAGGTGTTTGATGGAGTTTGACATTTGCTTCTTTTCGGCATCCCGACGACCCGATACAGCCCAAGAGCCCCCAAAGATCGCCCAAAGATCGGCCAAGATGTCTCCAAGATGGCCCCAGCCCCCAAGACGGCACCAAGAGGCCCCCAAGACGGCCCAGGAGGCTTTTAAGACGCTCAAGATGGCTTCCAAGACGGCCCTGGAGCATTCCAAGAGGGCTCCAAGTCGGCCCAGAGGGGCCCCCCAAACGGCTTCCGACGGCGTCGGACGGGCCAGGGGCCCACCAAGACGGCCGAAGATGGCACTAAGATGGCCCAAGACGGCCCAAGAGGCCTCCAAGAGGGCCTCCAGGAAAGCCGAACAGGCCAAAATCATTGATTTCCCATGAGTTTTTGAAGGATGGTGCCATTTGCTTTTTTTCGGCCTTCCGACGGCCCGAGACGGCCCAAGTGCCCCCAAAGATCGCCCAAGAAGCCCAAGACCGCCCCAAGAGGCCCCCAAGACGGCCCAAGAGGCCTCCAAGACGCTCAAGATGGCCTCCAAGTCGGCCCAAGAGCCCTCCAAGACGTCCTCCAAGAAGGCCCGAAAGGGTCAAAATGGCCTCCAGGCGGCCAAGATGACCTTCAAGATGCCCACGTGTTCCCCGAAGGCTTTCCAAACCGATTCGGGGAACATCCGGTCCGATACCTTGGCAGGTCTGGCCTCAACGTTCGGCCACATAGGCGCTTCCAAAAAGGCAGGGGGCGGCGGTGATTCGCCGTAGGCGTCTAGGATCCGCCGCCCCGTGTGGGGGACAACCATCACACGCTTCGCGGCCCCATGAAGAGAGAGAGCTCCACCTGAGGCCCCCGTGGCTTTCGCATGCCGCACCCCCCTCCTCCCTCGCTTGGCACACCCCTCGCACGCCTCGTGGTCTCGTAGGGAGCTCCACCGAAGGCCCCCGTAGCTGCGTTCGCACGCCGCCCCCCCCCCCACTTCGGCACGCCGCTCTCGGTGCACGGCGTGCCAGGCGCCTGGACTGCTGGTCCTCTTCCAGGGAGCTCCCCCGTAGGGGTCTTGGCCCAGCCCTCGAGCCACCCAGGGGGGCCCGGGGAGGTCCGCCCCTCGTGGGCCAGGTCGCCTCCAGCACGGCCAAGGTGGCCTCCGAGATGGCCTCCAGGATGCCTCCACGACGGGCAAGGTGGCCACCAAGAGAGCCCAAGGTAGCTCCAAATATGGCCTCCAAGACGGTCCCAAGATGAACCCGATACCGCCAAGATGGTCCAACAGAGCCCAAGACGGCCCAAAAGTAATCCCAACCCGAGAGGTCTCCAAGAGGTCCTCCAGGAAAGGCTCGAAGAGGCCAACAATGTATCTTAGGTGTTTGAGAGATTTTGGTATTCGCCTCAAAACGGCCTTCCGACGGCCGAAGACGGCCCAAGAAGTCCTCAATATTGCGCCACGATCGCCCAAGAGGCCTCCAATATGACCCTAGGACGGCCCAAGAGGCTCTCAAGACGGCCCCCAAGATGGCCCTCAAGACGGCCCTGAAGCGCCCCACTAATGAGATCCAAAAACGGCCCAGAGAGGCTCCCAAAACTGTTTTCGACGGCGGCAGACGGGCCAGGAACGCCGTAAGACGGCCAGAGGCCCCCAAGAAGCCCACAAAGGTCCCCAAGAGGCCCCAAGAGGCCACCAAAAGGCCTGCAAGAGGCCTCCAGGAAGCTCCCGGGATGCTCCAAGAATAACCCCAGAGGCTCCCACGAGGTCTCCTCATCCTTCTCCTCATCCTCCTTGTTCCTCCCCCTCCTCATCCTCCTCCTCTCCCAAAAGTTAGTTTGGCCACATTGGCGTATCCAGAAAAGGCAGGGGGCCGCGGTGACTCGCCGTAGGCGTCTTCGAACTTATATACGTAGGCTGGTGTACATATAGATGTACACGTATGTTTATGTGTGTATATATATATATGAACTGAGAGATAGAGAGAGAGAGAGACAGAGACAGACAGGCAAAGGCAGACAGAGACAGAGACAGAGAGCGAGAGAGAGAGAGAGAGAAAGCGCGGGGGAATGAGCCTCAGGAGCTGGGTTGAGACCAAACCGTGCGCCCTTCAGGCATGTGTCATTGAGCACGCTGGAGAGCGTGTGGGTGATGGGCTCCTGGCTGCGCCGCACCAGGGCTGATCTCTCAATAATTTCCCAGGCCGCAATCCACTGATGCACAGCTGTATGCTGACGATTCGATTCGATTGTCAAGATCTCACTCTCAACTTGGCATGAGTGGGTGTTCGCAAACGTATGGGAAACACACCGGCACTTTCAGTCAGGAGGAGGAGGAGGAGGAGGAGGAGGAGGAGGAGGAGGAGGAGGAGGACACTCAGGGAAGCAGCAGCAACCTTGGCAGGCAACGCCGCCGTGGCAGGGCCAGGGGGGCGCCAGGAGGAGGTGGGCAGGCGGAAACAGAAGACCGGACGCTTATACAGTCGGGGCGTTGACCTAAGGAACCCAAAAGAAGGAACGAGGCCCCTTTTTTCCATTAGTTAACCTTCGATTTCCGATCGAAAACCTCAGGAAAACCCAAGCCAAGCTGCGAAACACTTAAGGAACGCGGAGCCCCTCCCCAACCAAAAGGGTTCCTTCTTCAGGGCCCCGACTGTAGCCCAAATGCTCCCCATGCCGATCCAATGCATTCTCGGGTGGGCAAACAGATGGGCCTTCAAAACGGCACGGATGCCTCAATGTGCCTCCGGATGGCATGATCGAACTCGTACCTTGATGTGCGACCAAATTCATCTCTAGGTTGCACCTGATTGGGGAGTGGTCAGCAGGCCCACCCAATGTTCGTGGCACTGGATCTACACCAAAAACAGCTTTACGTAGGCAGAAGAGGATAAGGGAGGATGTGGGAGGTCGGGGATATCAGGGAGCTGGTAAAGCGTATGCGCCAGGATAAGGTGATAGGTCTGAAGTAATGGCCAACCTGGAAGTGTAGGATGAGGCAAAGAGCAGGTGGGAAATCGGACGTAGCCAATATGAGGTGAACTTAGGGATGTAGCAAGCGACATGCATGTGTAGAAAGAGGCATACCAGAAAAAGGGGCACGTAACGTGACATGCAAAATGCAGCCACAGAGAATAAGGGGGTGGTGGAAAGAGGATGGTGGTAGAACGTGCGATGTCCAGGGTCTGCTGTCTGCTGATTGGGGTAGCGCGTGTCGGGGTAGTTGGGGCGTGGATAATTTTAATTGGATGGGGGGAGGGGCAGGATGTAAAACATGTTTCAGTTGGGGCGTGGGAAAATCTCCATTGGATGGGGGGAGGGGCAGGATGTAAACTATGCTACAGGCAGGAGACATCCAAGAATGCGAACGCGCGCGCGAACGAGACTGGGGAGCAGGAAACAAAACAAAACGAAACAACGAGGGGGAGGCAAGGGTGGGGGCAGAGCGTGCCAGCCCCGGGTCACGGAGCGCCCGTACAGGCTGAGGGCTGAGGGCACGGCGGATGATGGCGATGCTGACGGGATTGTTTTTTTTTGTGGCGCCCATGACAATCGAGGAACAGTGATTCCTTCCGCGGTCCAGAATGCAACGCAACGACCAAAGACTAGCGTTCAAGTCCCAGCTTCGACTGGGAGAGAGGGGAATCACATCAGGAGTGAGGCGCGCGACAAGGCGCGACACGAGGACGACGGGGGGGATGAGGATGATGCTGCTGATGATGGTGATGATAATGGTCCTGCTGCTGATGATAATGGTAGTAATGCTGCTGCTGCTGCCGATGATGATGATGATGATGATGATGATGATGATGATGATGATGATGATGATGATGATGATGATGATGATGGTAATGATGATGGAGGTGAGGAAAATAATGATTATGGTGGGAACGATGTTGATGATGATGGTGATGATGATGATGATGATGATGATGATGGTGGTGATGATGATGCTGCGAATGATGACGATGTGGATGATGATGATGATGGTGATGATGAGGATGCTGATGATGATAAGGATGAGGATGGTGATGATGGTGAGTGTGGTGGTGGTGGTGGTGGTGGTGGTGCTGCTGCTACTGCTGGTGGCGATCTGCTCCGACTGCCTGCCCGCCCGCGGCCCTTCGCCTCGGGCACGGCGAGAGCCCCCCGCGCCGCGCCGCCCCGCCCGCGCGGTGGGCGCGGCGGCGGCCCGCGCACGGCCGCCCGGGCCCCCTCGCGGGCCCCTGCGAGCCCGCTCCGGTGCGCTGCCCCCCCCCCCCTGGCGGGCTAGTTGGCTCGAAAAAGTCTCGACGGAAGTCCGCCCCCCCCCCCCCCCCCCCGGCTCAGGACGTGAGGTGCCCCCCCCCTCGCCCCGGCGAAGGCGCACGCCTGGAAGGCGAAGGAGGGCCGCCCTTTTCGACCAGTGCGGCCCCCCCCCCCCCCATCCCCCCAGCTCAGGGCGTGAGGCGGGAAGCCCTCCCGACAAGGGCGGGCCCTCTCCAGCCTGCCCGCATGTGCTGGTCGCGACCTCCTTCGCCCCGACCAGCATGACGAGATACGCCATCGTGACCGGGGTGCTTGCCCTCCAGCATGGTGCTCCGCACTGCTGCTGCTGCTGGGGCTGTCTGTGCCCTCCTGTGTCAACCTCATCGCGTGGTTGCCACTCGACATGGCCCCGCAGTTCGAGCAGAAGAACACGTCGCCGATCATCATCATCGGGTGGCTTGCTACCGCCAGCGCCACCGCCACAGGACAACTCCTGCATAACCACAGGTTTTAGAAGACCTCCTTCGCGGCCGAACGACACCTGCATCGGTTGCACCCCAACTTTGAGCTCTCATCCCTGCGGGGCCAACGGGCTCGATGTCGGAACGGTGCCGCGTCCTCCCCCCGTGCTGTCATTCTCGATGCCGTCGTGGGGCATGTGCGGCTGCAGCCCTGCCGCGGTGAGGCTGGCCACTCGCTGTCCTGTCTGCCTGTGGACCCCGGGAGGTGTCGCCTCCTCCCATGCCCTCCCCCGTCTCCTCTGCGCCCGGATCGCCATCCTCGGGACACTTGGCTGCACTGCTCGTGGCAGCCTCTGTCGCCTCGAGGTCCCAGGCTTGAGCTCGGAAGGGCCGGGGGGAGGCTCGGGTGGGGACGGCGCGGCGTGGAGGAGAGAGAAGAGGCCGGCGCCCCGGCTGCAACTCCTCGCTTTCTGCTGCAGCTCTGCGGCGCCTCTCCTCCTTGCTGCGTCCCTCCTCTGCCCAACTCTGTCGCAGCTCCCGTCCGCTCGTCGAGCCTGCCCGTGATGCCGAGGGATGCACGGTCTTCGTGCCTCGACGAAGCGGGTCCTCAGGGAAACGGGTCACTGGGCCCTGGGGGCCTCCTTCCCCGCGCCAGCTTTCTCGGGAAGGCGAGGAGGGGGAGGAGCAGGAGGAGGAAGAGCGCGGCGACGACGAGGGAGGCGTGGGGCGATGAAGGAACCGAGCAGGACGATTGCGACGACGAGACGGGAACAGTGAGAAGCACGAGGGGGGGGGAGGAGGAAGAAACGATATGATGTGGGAGGATTACGAGGAATCTTGAGAGGGGGGCGGAGGAGAAGGAGGAGGCATGAGTCGAGGAGCAAGCAGAAGCGAGGAGGAGGAGGAGGAGGAGGAGGAGGAGGAGGAGGAGGAGGAGGAGCCCACGCCGCCGAGGTGCGCGCCGTCCTCCTTCCTCACCAGGGCGCGCTCGCCGCGCCGCCCGCGGCCCCCGCGGGGCCCGACGTCAGGGGCTCCTCCAGGGGCGCCCTCGTGGTTGACGAAGTTGCCGTTGAGATCGACCCCCCGTCTCCGCTGTGTCGACGGCAGCGCCGGGGCCGTCCAAACAATGATCGTTAGCTCCAGGACAGGAAGGGTCAAGAGACGGAGACGCGGCAACGAGCGCCACCGTGCACGCGTCAAACTCGGCGCAGTCGTCCTCCATCTGGTCAAGCTCCTGCAGGAGGGTGGCATGCTCGTCGAGGGGGTCGTTACCAGCAAGCCCTTCGTCACCAGGATCGGCAAGTGACGCTGGCGGTGTCTCCGTACCTCCAACCACTTCAGGCTCCGAAGGTTCACGCTCAGGGTGCTCAAGAGAGTTGTCTGGATTCTGCAAAAGCCAGCGCACCACGTCAAAAGGGTCACAGGAGATGGGAAAGTCCACGTTTGCAGTTTCAATAGGGAGCATCGCCATTGCACACTCGATCTCCGACTCGTCGAGGAAAATAAGGTCCTCGCCACTAGCGTCAGGAAGGACGGGCAGACCTGGAGCTTCAGCATGAACATCTTCCGCATCAAGTGGTAGTCCTACCACATCTGGATCATTAGAAGCGTGCGGGGAGACGGATTCGTGAGGCCGGCCACACACTCGGTATCGCTTGGACGTCCATTTCCCGTGCATTTTTCGGTTTCGTGCGTGTTTTTTTTGCTCGATGGTCCAGGATGGTCCTCGATGGTCCCCGCCGAGAAAAAAATGCACACGCCCGAGCGATGCCAGGCACAGAGCACACCGAAGGTCACTGCCGTCGTTGAGAAGCCTGCAGGAGACACGGCAGTCAAGGCGGCAGATCATCGGGAGCCTCGTGATCGGCAGGATGAGCAGGGACAGGTGCGTGTGGCTGAGCTTCGGCGCCCCGGGGCTCCTCGTGCCGAGAGCGACCCCCCCTCCCGGCAGCGCGAGGACTCTCTCCTCGGCGACGAGCGAAGGGGGGGGAAGCGAGGAGGAGGAGGAGGAGGAGGAGGAGGAGGAGGAGGAGGAGGAGGAGGAGGAGGAGGAGGAGGAGGAGGAGGAGGAGGAGGAGGAGGAGGAGAGGAGAGAGGAGAGAGGAGAGAGGAGAGAGGAGAGGAGGAGGAGGAGGAGGAGGAGGAGGAGGAGGAGGAGGAGGAGGAGGAGGAGGAGGAGGAGGAGGAGGAGGAGGAATGCAGGAGTGCAGTAAGGAGACAGCGTCTGCTGAGAGAGAAGATTGCCCAGTCAGCCACTCCCCTCCAGGGGTTGGCCAGACTTGGGGTGCTTGCCCCCCGGCAAGCTGTTGAGGACCCTCAGCCTGCTGAGGGAGGAAGAACGAAGATCATGAGAAGGAGAAAAACACGACGACGAAATGGAAGAGGAACAGGAGGGCAAGCCGGGCCGAGCTGGGCCGGGCCGGGCAGAGCTGGACCCGCAGTGCCCCCGCCGTCCATGTGGATGCTCCAGATGCTGCCCCCGGGGACGGCCTTGGGCCCGAAGAGGCTGATGGGCTTCGCGGCCAGGCCTCGCTCGAGGGGAAGGGGAAGAAGAGAGGAGGAGGAGGAGGAGGAGGAGGAGGAGGAGGAGGAGGAGGAGGAGGAGGAGGAGGAGGAGGAGGAGGAGGAGGAGGAGGGGGAGGAGGAGAAAGAGAAGAAGGAGGAAACGGGATACGCAGATGCTGCTGCTGCTGATGATGATGAGGACGACGAGGATGGGGATGAGGATGATGATGCGGATAACGATTAGGATTATGATGGCGATGATGATGCTGATGATGATGCTGATGATGATGATGACGATAATGGTGGAGGTGGTGATGATGGTGATGATACTGTTGCTGATGATGGTAACGACGATGGTGATGGTGATGGTGATGCCGATGACGATGATGATGCTGCTGCTGATGGTGATTACGATGATGAGAATGGTGATGCTGCTAATGATGATGATGATGATGATTATGATGATGATGATGATGATGATGATGATGATGATGATGATGATGATGATGATGATGATGGCGATGATGATGATGATGATGATGATGATGACGATGATGATGATGATGCTTACTAGTATTATTACTGCTATCATTCGGATTCGCATTACGATTCGTATTATTATCAATGTTATTCGTAGTAGTGCTAGTAGGGTGATTATTCGTATTAGTACTACGTGCAAGTATTATTGTGATGCTGACAGTGCTGATTGCGGTGATGATGAAGAGGATGAAGAAGGAAGGGCGACAGGAAGAAGGAAGAGTGGGTGGAGGATGGAAGAGGGAAGATGATAGATGGGGTTCGGAGAAAAGAAGAAAAGAAGGCCTCGCGGCCAAGCCCCGTGGAGAGGAGCGGGAGGCCTCTAGAGGCCTCCATAGGCCGAAAGAGGGCCAACAACGTTTAGAAGCCCTCTTCTTCTGACTCCTCCTCCTCCTCCTCCTTCTCCTACTCCTCCTCCTCCTCCTCCTCCTCCTCCTCCTCCTCCACCCCTCAAACCTTGAACCTCAAGAACAGGCGGCGCGGAGAGCAGCGTCCGGCCTGCGTCCGCGAAGTCGCAGAAGATCTTGTACTCGCCCTCGGCAAAGTCCTCGGACCGCTCGTGGCTGTCGTCGTCGTAGTCGCCGTTGTCGCCGTCGTCGTCGTCGTCGTCGTCGCCGTCGTCGTCGTCGTCGTCGTCGTCGTCGTCGTCGCTGTCGTCGTCGTCGTCGTCGTCGACGTCGCCGTAGCCGCCGCCGCCGCCGCCGTCGTCGTCGTCGCCGTCGTCGTCGTCGCCGTCGTCATCGTCGTCGCCGTCGTGACATCGTCGCCGTCGTCCGTGGCACCGTCTCGTCGTCATCGTCGTCGTCGTCGGCGGCGGCGGCTGCATCACGCCGTCGTCATCGTCGCCGCCGTCGTGACGTCGTCACCGTCGTCTGTGGCACCGTCTCGTCGTCATCCTCGACGTCGGAGGAGGAAGATTCGAGCTGCGCTTCACCACGAAACAAGTCTTCCTGCCCTTTCGAATTTGCATGCTTGCACTTGCAACCATGTTCTTGTAGCAGTTGGCTTCAGCACCAAGCTTACGGGGCTAAGAAACCAACTGAAGGAGAAGAGGCAGGGCCGAGAAGGGGCGAGGAAGAGAGGGAGGGATGATATAGCTGTAGTCGAGACCCGAGAAGTCCCTGGGAGACTGCAGGCGTCCTCTGGAACTTCTCGGAGTGCAGCGCCCAACTCCTTCGCCTGGGCTCCCTGCCTTCTCGGAAAGAGCTGCGCCGGAACTGCCGACCGTCGATCTGTTACTAGGGCGGGGGCGATGTCATGATAAGATTGGCTCAAGATACGTTCCAGGGTTTGCCGGGTATCTAGCGGCACAGCCAGTGTGGAATACCATTGGGAGCTATGGGGAATCCTGGGAACCTGGGGAAATCTTGGAACGCACCATTAAGTTAGCATGACCTCTTGCTCCCCTGACCTGCCGCACGATCGCTCCCATTGATGATCCCCCACACGCTTCCCCTCCCACCTCTACACGACTGATCCTCGCATCTTCTACGTAGCCAGGCAGTCGGAACACGATGCTGGGGAGGCGGAGGAGAAGGAGCAGGCTGAGGATGACGAGGGGAAGATAATAGGAGGAGGCGCCCATACCAAGTCGGCGACTCCGAAGGGTGTGGTTTGCAAAGGGTGTGGCTTGCAACCGGCACCCTCGGGGGCACTCTGGGGAGCGGGCGGGGACCTCGGTAGGGTTCTCCGCCGGGCCGAGGAGGGCCGACGAGGACACAGTCGTGGTCCCCAGGCCCCAGCGGCGCCGATCGCAAACAACACCACCGCGTAACCTGAACCTTTGCAGTCGTCGACTAGGGGAAAGCGTGCGACTGCTACCTCGTTCAGTGGCCAACACTTCATGTCCGAAGCTTCTGAAGTTTCCTCCCCCCTAGTCCCCAACCCTCCCGCCCCCCAACACGAATGCTTCATGCTGCTTCCAGCCAGGCCGCTGGCACCCGCTGACGCGAGGGAGAGGGGGGGGAGGGCGAGGTTCGGAAGGGGACTGGGGGGGGGTTACAGAAAGCCCGCCGAGGGCCTCCGGAGGCCGCAGACAACCTTCGTCGCCGCGCCCCGCGCGCGCTCGCTGGCCGCACTCCGCAGCGCCGCGCATTGGCGCGGCCAGGAGAAAAATAAGAGGAGGGGCGGAGGAGGAGGAGGAGTATAAGATGGAGCAGGAGGAGGAGGAGCAGGAGGATGAGGAGGGGGAGGGAGGAGGGAGGAGGAAGACAAGGTGGAGGGTTGAGGGGTGATGACGATGACGATGATGGTGATGATGATGGGACGGATGATGATGGTGATGGTGATGATGATGATGACGATGGGACGGATGATGCTGATGATGATGATGATAATGGTGATGATGACGATGATGATGATGATGATGATGGCGATGATGGCGATGATGGCGATGATGGCGATGATGATGATGATGATGATGATGATGACGATGACGATGACGATGACGATGATGATGATGATGATGATGATGGTGATGATGATGATGATGATGATGATGATGATGATGACGATGACGATGACGATGATGATGATGATGATGATGATGATGATGATGGTGCTGCTGCTGATGATGATGATGATGATGATGATGATGATGATGGGACGGATGATGAGGATTATGATGATGTTGATGATGATGGTGACGATGATGACGATGACGATGTTCATAATGATAATAATGCCTTTTCCTCGAAGGCCCCGGAGCAGAACGTAACTGTGAGAGCCAGCGAACTCAGACGAGAGCGAGGACGGGCTTCACCATGCCGGCCGCGATCTCCAGAGCCGGGCGCCGCCGCGGCCGCGGACTCGGCGAGCAGCAGGGAGGCAATGACGCCCACGACGCGGCCCCTGCTCCTGCCCTCGCCCAGGCCGTCGAGCCTGACGCCTGCGAGGTCGGTGCCGACACGGGCGAGGGCGCCCATGCGGCCAGCCCACGGGCCGTCCGCACTGCGCACCTGCGCGCCCGCCTTCAGCTCGTCGGGCGGGCTGTCGCTCTTGTCGTCCTTGTCCTCGCCCCCTCCCTCTCCTCTTCCTCTTCCTCCTCCTTCTCCTCCTCCTTCTCCTCCTCCTCCTCCTCCTCCTCCTCCCATGCCCCCTCCGCGCCACTGGCGGCCTGCCGCGCGATGGGGAGGTCCTCTGCCCAGCCGTCGGGCGGCGGCCCCCGGGCCGACGTCGGCGATCCCACCACCGCCGTCTCCAGCTCCACCGAGAGGTCGCCGAAGACTCACAAAAGGGCGCCGAAGACCAAAGAGGCGCCCCCCCCAGAGGGCGCCGAAGACCGACGAGGCCCCGACAACGAAAGGGGCGCCGCTCCCACACGCCCGCCTCGCCTCGCCCGCGCGGGCGCCTGGGCGGGGCGGCGCCGCCGGAGGCCGTCGGCGGCGCGCGCGAGGCGCTGGGCCCTGCGGCGCTCGCGCGCGGAGCCCTGCCGCAGAGCACGCGCGGCGAGGAGCGCGCCTGGGAGGGCGTCCCGCGACACGCGCGCACGGCGGGCGTCCAGCGTACGTGACATCGGAGCCAGAGTGCACTGATGATGGTGATGATGATGATGATGATGATGATGATGATGATGATGATGATGATGATGATGATGATGATGATGATGATGATGATGATGATGATGATAATGAACATGATTGTGATGATGGTGATGGTGGTGATGGTGGTAATGATGGTGGTGGTGATGATGACGACGATGACGATGACGATGATGATGATGACGATGACGACGATGCTGATGCTGCTGATGATAATGACGACGATGATGATGATTACGGTGGTGATGATGATGGCGATGAGGGAGGACATTCGAACAGGAGGGAGTCGGAGGGGGGAGAGTGAGGAGTGATCTGTGGTAATTGGAGGGTACGGAGATGATAAAGGGGGAAAGGAGTAGGGAGGACGGGAATGGCGGGAGGAATGAGAGAAGAGGAGGCAGATGGGAGGATCAGGGTTATCATGATGGTGATGGTGAGGTGGTGATGCTGTTAATGGTGATGACGAGACGAAGCAGGGAGGCGGAGAGTGGATGATAAGAATGACGAGGAAGAGGAAGAAAAGGACATGGCTAGTGGTCGTTAGGGTGTTCTCCGACTTACATTATGTGAGTTTGATTTCCTGGGGAGAGGAGGAGAGGAGGATGATAAGGATGTGGAGGGAGGTAAGTAGGTCGCTGGAGGCATGATGATGTTCTAAGGGTGGGGTGGGGTGGATGTTCTTGGGGTGAGTGTGTGGAGAAGGAGGGAGGACTTGGACAATGGCGGAGAGGTTGCAGACAGGTCTTACGCACTCAAAATGTCCTGCTAGTATGGGGGCCCAGTGCTTCATCGGGAAGAGGAAGAGAAGGAGGAGGGGGGACAAGGAGGAGGAGGAGGAGGGGAGGAGGAGGGGGTTGGAGGAGAGGAACGAAGAGAAGGAGGAGAAGGAGGAGGAGAAGGAGGAGGACGAGCCTCCTCCTCGTCTCCCCCTCCTCCTCCTCTGCTGCTGGTGTGCTCCCGCGTCGTCCCCTTCCTCGTTCTCATTCTCCTCCCGGGGTAGCCCCTCCCCCTCGGTCAGTGGCGCCACTGTACACGCCAGCCCTGCGGAGCAGGGCTGGGTTGGCTGCGATCGAGGACCCCTTCTTCAGCCATCATGAACCAGAAACCAGGATTAGGAGGAGGAGGGAAGAGGAGGAGGAGGGAAGAGGAGGAGAGAGGAGGAGGAGGAGGAGGAGGAGGAGGAGGAGGAGGAGGAGGAAGGAGGAGGGGGAGGAGGAGGAGGAGGAGGAGGAGGAGGAGGAGGAAGAGAAGGAGGAGAAGGAGAAGGAGGAGGAGAGAATGGGGGCCCGTCACTGGCGCCCTCAGATCGGCCCAGGCTCCCCGGGCCGTCGGAGAGACGGCGCTGCAGGGCCCGACGGCGGGCAGCCGCCACCGCCCCCGCGCTGGCTGCTCCTCGAGCATGACCTTCACCACGACCCCGGTCTTCTCTTCCAAGAAGACCACGCCGCTGTACCCTTTACCTCCCGCTTCTCTATCTCTCTCTCTCTCTTTCTCTGCTTCTGGCTGCCTCTCTGCCCTCTCTCTCTCTCTCGTTCTCGGTCTCTCGGTCTCTCTCTCTCTCTCTCGCTCGCTCCCCTCCTCTCTCCGTCAGCACCTCGCTGTCCAAGCTGCACGGCCAGAACGGGATCTCATCGGATATGTCCAAGAACCCATTTGGAGGAGAAAGGGATCCCCCACCTCTCTCCTCCTCCTCCTCCTCCTCCTCCTCCTCCTCCTCCTCCTCCACCACCGCGCGCGGTCCTGGGCACGAGACATCTCGCTGTTGTGGGTGCGGCTCCCTCGGGCCTGCGAGCCTCCCTCGGTGCCTCTGTGAGTGCCTCTGCCTCTATCCTTGTGTACATATGTATGCACGTATGTATGTATGTATGTAGGTAGATCGGTCGATAGTCAGGTCGGTAGATGGGTCGGTCGATAAGTTGATAGGTAGGTAGGTCGGTCGGAGGTCGGTAGATAGGTCGGTAGATAGGTAGGTAGGTCGGAAGATAGGTCGGTAGTTAGGTCTGTAGGTAGGTAGGTCGGTCGAAAGGTAGGTAGATAGGTCGGTCGGTAGGTACGTAGGTTGGTAGGTATGTACGTCGTACGTACGTATGTATGCATGTATGTATGAACGCATGCATGTATGCATGCACGTAGGCACGTGTATCTGTGCAGGTGTGTGTATATTCATAGACATGGATCCCCATACATTCCCCAAATAGTTGTTGCACTTCCGAGCTCTGACCTGTTCCCTGGAGAACTGGGCCTGTCTGGCGGTCTGGCGGCTATGTTGTCGCCATCGCCGCCCCGTCGCCGCCTCGTCGCTGCCAGTCGTATGGGCCTGTCTGGCGGTCTGGCGGCTATGTTGTCGCCGTCGATGCCCAGTCGCCGCCTCGTCGCCGCTCGTCGTCCGGGCTTGTCTGGCGGTCTGGCCGCTGTGTCGTCGCCGTCGCCGCCCCGTCGCCACCTCGTGGCCGCCCGTCGTTTAGGCCTGGGTGACGGTCTGGCGGCTGTGTCGTCGCTGTCGCCGCCCCGTCCCGTTGCCGCCGCCCCGTTGCGCAACATAGTTGCTCCTTTCCCAAACAAATTTGGATCTACCGCCCCCACCGTCCCAGAATGACTCTCTTATGTTAGAGGCCTCCTAGATGGGGTCGGAGTAGATGTGGTCGGACGATCGCGCCGCATCGGCGATGCATCGGCGCTGCATCGGAGATGCATCGGCGACGTCGGCGACGCATCCGCGACGCCAGCGCGAAGAACATCGGGCTCCACATCGAGCCGCATCGCCGATGCATCGGCGATGCGGCGCGATCCTCCGACCCCATCAATTCGGACCCCATCTAGGAGACCTAGATACGTGCAGCCGGTTCCCCCTCCTCTGACTGTCGGATCACGACTCGGGCGGCCGCTCTGGAAGATTCGGGCACCACAGGGGCGCCCTCGGCGAGGCGCAGCTGCCAGAACGCCTCCCGAGGCAAGAACGCCAGCAACCGAGGAGGGCGTCTGACGTACCCGCTGGTCAGAAGAAGCAGGTACAGATATGAAGTAGGAAGGCGGAAAGAGGCAGAAATGTAAAGTAGGAAGGCGGATGGAGCAGATCGGCACCAGGCCCGCCCAAAGAAACACAGAAACCAGCAGAAAAACATCGAGTCTTGAAGCACGAAAGCGCTTGAAGTAGATTGGGATCTGGCCATCCAAAAGTGTACCTACTTCTAGCGAGCGGCGCGTACGTCCGAAAGTCCCGGCCCCGCGCAAGAGCCCCGCCGAGGAGCCGCGTGGCGCCCGCCGGGGCCAGCCAGGACTCCGGGGATAGCGAGGCGATGGCGCGGACCGGGTCGAAGCCCTGCTCCTCCTCGCGGGGCGGCCGCGGCGCGGAGGCCCGCGGGGGTCGCCGGAAATCGAGTCTCGAGGGCCGATGCCTGCTTACAGCCATAAAAAATTGTCAAAAACCTCGCGTTCAAGAAACGAGATCGTTCGTTTCATCCATTGGGGGTAACGCGTGTTACCCTCGGTGCGGGGGGCAGGCGGGGGGGCTAATGGTAACGGCTGCCGCGGCGCGCACCCGCCAGGGTGAGTCCAAGCCACCAGCACATCAATCGCCTGTGTGCACCACACGCAATGTGTACATGACAATGCCCAACGCCTGCGTGCCAGTCCCCGTGTACACGAAAATGCCCAATGCCTGCTGCAACACAGCGCCGCCTGCGTACACCACAGTGCCTTCGTACACCACAGCAGCCGTGCGCACGGCAGCACCACGTCGCGTGTGTACACCACATTGCCTGTGTACACTGCAGCAGCCGCGTGCGCAACAGCGCCTGTGTAACCCACGGTGCCTGCGTGCACCAGAATGCGCTCGTGATAAGGACGCGGGAAAAATGTGGGGAGTGGCGGGGGGGAGTTGGGAGAAGAAGTGAAGGGAGGCGGGAGGCGGGGGAAACTAGGAGGACGTGGGGCGTCGGCAATAAGGTAGGTCCGTGTCGTGACGCCTTGGAAATTGGTTTCTCTCTCACGCCGCATGAATCGTTCAATCTTGAACGATCTGCGTAACCTGAGGCCCTCGGCCCAATATTGACCCATGACTTCGCACCGCGGTTCGTTTCTGAGAATCCTGGAGCCCCAACGGCCCCCCCCCCCCCCTCCCTGGGCGCGTCGCAACCTTGAACGCCCGCGCTGGGGTCGCCGCCGCGCCTTCTCTGCGCCAGCGAACTTTCTTCGGCCAGAGGCAACAACGGACGACAACGAGAGCCCGCAGGCCCCCACGGTGGGGCCACCAAGCTGTGAATATGCTGTCCTCTGGCTCCCTAACCCTTCCCACCTCCTACTCCCCCTCCGCCTCTTCCTCATCGTCCTGCCCCTCCTCCTCCTCTGAGATCGTTCTGCTGCACCGCAACGCTTGCGTACACCACAACGCCTGTGTACACCACAGCAGCCGCGTGCACCACAGCGCCTGTGTACACCACAGTGCTTCCGTGCATCACAACGCCTGTGAACACCTCAACGCCTGTGCACACTACAGTAGCCATGTGCACCGCAGCGTACGCGTACGCCACAGTGCCTGCGTGCACGACAGCGCCCGTGCACACCGCAATGCACTTGCCCTGCGTGCGCCTCGATGCCTGCGTGCGCCGGAGCGCCTGTGTACGCCTTCACGCTTGTGCCCTGTTTGACGCTTGCGCCCGGCTTGCAAGCGTTACCGTTACGGGGAGGGGGATCGGGGGGGGGGGCTAACACGCCCTACCCGTGGGGGGGGTAAAAGAACGATCGCTATCTGGGCCAGCTCCCTGGAAGTTTCTTGAAACAAGCCTGGGCCAATGTCTGTTGTTCACGATGGAGGGACGAACGTGCTCAAGAAACTGGGCCTGTGAAAAGAGAAACGCCGGCCCAGCTTCTAGGGAGGAGGCTCCTGAAGCAGATGCTCGACTGCCTGTCTCCGGGGGGAAGGCCAGTGATGCCCGGAGGTGTCTGCCTGTCGTCTGTCGGCCTCCCGAAACCCCCGTGGGGGCGCCTCCGGAGCCTCTGCGGGGGCCTCGTCGGGAACAACCTCCGGGGGGGCACCCTGCGGGGCCGCCGCGCTGCAGTCGGACTTCGTTGGACAGGACACGCGAGAGGGCACGAGAGACCCTCCCGAGGGTCACACTGCCATAGGAATGCAGGAGGCACGGGTCGCGAGACGCAGGGCACATTCTTTTCTTGTCGGCGGGGCGAGAGCGAACCTCTTCCGCTGAAAGAGCAGGCACAGGGCACAAAGGTGCCCTTGATTTGGCAGGGTCGACCCACGAATGCGGGCCGACCGTGGGGGAGGGCAAGCCGGGGCCGGAGACGAGCCGGGGTCCTGCTACTGGCACGAGGCGCAGGACCAACCGACGGCACCGTGCTTTTCTGCAGCAGCGGGGGGGGGGGATGGGCAGGAGGAGGGCGAGGTGCCGCGATGAGGAGATCGAGGAGGAGGCCGCTGGGGGGAGGAGGCGGGGGAGGCCAGGAGGGGGAAGAGGAGCGTCGCACATGCATCTCGTGCGCGACGGGGGGAGGAGAGGAAGAGCCCAGAGGAGCCCGGGCAGGAAGTGGGGAAGCGAGCGGCGGCGACAAGGAGCGGGCGAAGCCGGGGGGATGGGCCTTCCGTGCGACCTCTGTGCGTGATGGGGGGAGGAGCGAGGAGAGGAGAGGTGGGAGGAGGACGAGGAGAGTTACGATTGGGAGATCGAGGGGGAGCCAGCCAGGGGAAGGAGGCGGGGAAGGCCAGGGGGAGGAAGAGGAGCGTTCCAGAACCAACCGCCCCTGACAAGAACACCAAGGGATGATAGAGTTCGGGGCCCCCGCGGGATAATAAACGATTTGTCTCAGCAAGTCGTGCGTGGGATGCATGACGAAGGACGAGGAGGTCGTCGTTGTCGTCGTCGCACGAAGACGACGACAACGACGACGACCTAGCCCTGCGACGCATATCAGACAGAGGGCAGGGGAAGGGAGAGAGAAGGGGTGGGAGAGGAGAGACGCCCAGGGTCAAGTTTGCCCCAAGAAATCAGATTCGGGACATTGCGTTTCCCATTGGAAAACCCGTTATTTATCTTAGCCGTCTTCTACATTACATGTGTAGGAGCTCATGGTGACCAGTTTCTGGTAATAAAACAACGCCCGGGAGAAAACAAAGTCCAGAGGGGGGTCTGGGGGGGCAGAGGAGGGAGTATTAGTACTGGTAGAAGTAGTAGAAGTAGTAGTAGTAGTAGTAGTAGTAGTAGTAGTAGTAGTAGTAGTAGTAGTAGTAGTAGTAGTAGTAGTAGTAGTAGTAAGAGTAAGAATAGTAGTAGTAGTAGTAGTAGTAGTAGTAGTAGTAGTAGTAGTAAGAGCCGTAGTCGTAGTAGTAGTAGTAGTAGTCGTAGTAGTAGTAGTAGTAGTAGTAGTAGTAGTAGTAGTAGTAGTAGTAGTAGTAGTAGTAGTAGTGGTAGTAGTAGCAGTAGTCGTAGTAGTAGTAGTAGTAGTAGTAGTAGTAGTAGTAGTAGTAGTCGTAGTAGTAACAGTAGTAATGAAAGTAGTAGTAGTAGTAGTAGTAGTAGTAGTAGTAGGAAGTAGTA